TAAGATGTTGTGCATTTCAACAGCAAGTATTTTCCAGGGCAGAACGAGGGCAGGAGAAGTCCCCCAAATGTTTTGCTATTCTCAGCACAGTGTTTAGGCAACACATATGTGAGAACAGTGAATGAATATGCCAACCATCTCATTGCACAAATCAGGCAAAATGCAGCATGTGAAATCAAATAGGTATTAAATTTGTCCTGGGATAAAGACATCAAGAACAGGGAGTACTGGATAGCCTCCAGTTCATCTTGATATATTGTGCCTTATTGATATGGCTAGCACAGAAATCTTGCTGTCAGGCTTCCCAAGGAGGTGCTGAGTTCAGAGGAGTAAGCTGTAGGAAAGCAACCTTTCAGCAAGTGCCGTTTTTTGAATTCTCTCGGCCTTGGAGGGTATTAAGGCATTGTATGTATTAAGTGTAAGCAGATCCATGTATGTATAATCAAATTGACATCAAGAGGTGCTGAACTTGTTTCCACAGCACTTAAAGCAGGCCTTCAGCTTTCATAAGGGTGAGAGGTGTTTCTGTCATTAGCTTCAGGCAAGACCTGAATACCAAACTCTCTGAATGCTGCAAAGAGTGTGCAGTGATTTAACAAGCAGAAGTATTTTTTACACATTCTGGAATCCTTTTTATTGTCCAGTCCTGTTTGTTGGATTGTAATAGAAAAGTCCTAGAGTTTTGATGGGAGATCAATGATCAGGAGATGTTTTGTTGCCGGTGACAGTTGTGCATCTCTTCAAATATATTAAACAAATATATTTGTTTAATATATAAAACAAATATAAAACAAATGCTGTGAAGATTCATGGTTCATCATCAATAGCCACCCACTGGCACGTTGTGGGCACAGCCATGAACATTTCTCTTTCACATAGTCTCCCATCTGTACATAGGTGGGCAAAAAAATCAGCTCTTGAGTTTTTCCTTTCTTCTGAGCAAGGATCCCTACAACACAAACTATTTCTCTTCTCTGTCACAGTGTAAAACTAATTAGTAATTGTTGCTTTTAAAAGTGTTGACATTATGAAATTGACCTGGAAACACTGGTGTGCTTTCTACTTAATTTTCCTTCATGAAAACCTGAGTATATAATGAAATTAGAAGGTAACTCTTTAACTTTTTGCAAGTTTTTGTTCAGAAGTTTTCCCCTGATGAACACAGCCAAGAAAATATGTGAGACCCTGATTAAACAAAATGTTTATCTCCTAGAGTTACAGTCTGAGTTGAATTCTTAAATACATTGTGGGCTAAACATGGAAGTGATGAAAGCTACTCACAAGATGAAGCAAAGCCACAATGTTCAACATCCCAGATCCTACCAAGACTTTTTTTGATTCTCAAGCTATTTTGTTGTCTCACAGAACTGTCCCACAAAAATCAAATCAAGTAACCTAATATTGGTGGATAGTAAAATGAGTAAAAAATAAAAATTATCCCAATAGGTAGAAACTTTTTGCCAAGACCTTTCTTGACAGAGTAGCTGTAGTTGAAAAGTAGATATATATATATACACTCAAGTAAGTCTCTATGACTTATGTTCATGAAATAAAACCTGCTCATGTGTGTTGCCACTCTCAGGACCTTCAATCCTTTGGGAGAAAAACAGGCTTCCTTTTATTTTGTGTTCAGCCCTAGCTGCATTACCAACAGCAGAAATTCAAACATAACCACACTCTGCAGCCAGTGAAGAACAGCTAGGAAAGGTTTCAGCAGACAAATCAGTTTTGTGCAGTCACCATGATTCCCACAATTAGCATTTTTCTTCTGTCTAATTAATTCAGCATCACAAGTTGCTCAATACTGAACTGTTCTGTGTTTTCACACAGCACTGCTTTTATTTATGTCCCCATAACACCAGAGGAGTGAGAAGCTCAAACTGAGACAGAGGCCTCATACCCAGTAAATGGAGGCTGAAGTTGATGAGAAAAGGGAACACAGAGAAAGGAATAAAAGACTCTGGAAGTTTAAATTACTTTTTTAAGGATATGCAGGTGTCTGGAAGCAAAGGCGTGTCACAGAGCAAAAATAAAATTAGCTGTCACCTGATGTCACACTCTAATTTGACAAAGCTTTGACTTTAGGAGACAAGTGCAACCTTAGAGCACCATGATTTTGATAGTTTATTGCCTATTGATTTCAGAACAATGTTGACTCAGTCCAAAAGTTATGCATAAAGGCAAAATCTCAAGTATTAACTCGTTGAGCCCCATGTTTTATATCAATTGTGTCATCTCACCTGCAGAAATACCATAATCTCTACCTTCTTTGACAACTGCCATAACTTTTTTACCCTGAAAAATTTACTCTAGTGGATGGCTCTTTATTTCCATATTCCATGTTTCCATGTCAGTGCTAATCTGACAAGGCAGCTGTATGTGCTAATAGATCCATAAACTAGGACTGCCTTATTTTCCCCAAGACAATCTGAGACCAACCTTTGCTGACATATCCAACACTTTAGTCCAACAAAGGCATGGGGAATTCTTGTTGCTCTTCTGTCACTGGGGTGATGCCTTGCTTTGGTTTAAAATATTTGTTAGCATCACTCGTGGGTGACAAATAAATGATCACCTTGGCAATGGCTTCATCGCTTCAAGATTTGAAAAGATGTAAGGTGATATTTTTCCAGAGTTTATTGACAGAACTGGTTTGTGAGAAAAGACAAGAAGAAAGCAAAGCTGTGACATGGCAAGATAAACTTATGTCCTGTGATAAAGAGTTACCTTTACTTATTCTCATTGCTAATGGGCTTGTTCCCATTTCTTTTTCCCTAGTATCATCATATCCCAGCCCCCACTGATCTCTCCTGCAGCCCTACAATTTCCCCTCCCCTCCATGAGGCCATGCTCCAATGCTCTGTCCCAGTCCCCTCCTGCCTGCTGGCAGCAGCTGTTGGGCCAGCAGATGCCTCTCAGACCTCTGAAAGCCTCCTCCCAGGCCCCAGCCACCCTGGCCAGGGGCCAGGAGCTGCTGTCACCACCAGACCCACAGGAAAGGAGGTATGTTCCCTGCTCGGCACACTGCCCAGCTCTTCACCAGGTGGGGCAACTGGGATGTCACAGAGGCAGGAGCTGGCGCCTCACTGTGCCAGCAGCAGGGCAGCCTCCCCCAGAGACAATTTTGTCTGGAGTGTCCTATCTACCTATAAAATGCCATCAGATGTGGGGATGGGATGATAGATGCATTTGAGGCAGAAGGCCTCAAAGCATGTGTGCCCATAGCCTTACCACTCCTTCTGCTGCTACCAGCTGAAGAAAGGGACATTGAGCCCTCAATACCATCAGTTGCCAACAGGGCTGCGAGAGGAAAAGAACTCGAAGAATACCTGAAAGGAAGGCAAGGAAAACACATACCAAGAGGCTTGCCAAAATACAGGATACATCACCACCAGTAGCACTCCAGTGGATGCTTATGCATTTATTTTGAGATAGATGGGAAGCATTAAATGGGACTGTGATCTTATAATTAAAGTGCTCGGTTTGTGTTGTACAAACAGGGAGCAGCACCCATCTGCAGCCTTTTACTGATGAATGGGAAAGAGCATCAACCATACAATACCCATTTGTAAGAAGGAACTTAAAAGATACCCACCAGAAGACTCGAAGAAAGACAAAAAGCAGTGTCTGTTAAAACACAAGTCATGGATCATTTAAAAAAAGATTGAGAGTTCTACTTCACTGTAATTTAGTCATCTAGCTAAGGAGCCTATGCCAACAGGTAACAGATTTTGCTTGTGCCTCTGAAGGCAGCATCCAGGTGGTTTGAAAAGGATGCTGGATCAGCTTCTGCTCCATTCACTGCTATTACTGCTCTTTATGCTGGGAGCTGTCCTGCCCAGACCTCACTCCATAGCCAGGGTCACATTAGCACTCGTGTCCAGCACCCACAGTTATGGAGCTGAGAGGTGACTGCGGTGGTGTGATACTGCAGGTGCAGCTCCCCAGACCCTGGGCACTACCAGGCATGGATCCTGAAACACACACAACACACACCTGGGGCAGGGGCAGGAGCAGACAGATTAGCACAGTGGGGTGTTGCAGCTTCTCTGATTTGTCTAAGGGTTTCCCTTCATGATAGGAGTGGTGAGAGGTGCAGACTGAGAAGCCAGGTTTGGGGGAAAGGAGGGCACCTAAGTGCTTTGCTGAATTGAAGCTTTAGGACTCTGTCAGCCTATGGAGAACATGTATGCTGTCTGAATGTCTACAGTGCACACTGGAAGGAGGAAAATACATGCTGAATTAGTGCTGTGGTCAGTTATGTGCCAGAGCTGTAATGGTGGAGGTGGGAGGTGGCAACAGTGCGCAGGATTGCCCATTCATTGTAGAGAACCTGCTCCCCACTCCTCACTCCCCATCTTGTCTCTGCCAGCTCAGTCCATCCCAGGCACGCAAAGGCAAAAGTGCTGCACAGAACCCAGAGCAGCCCCTTGTCAGCACATTGGTTTCTCCACCTTTCCCATGGGGGAAGATCTCTACCTGGGGGCCATCCCTGGCTCTCACTGGCACAGCCACATGCCCGCTGGCACCAGGCTGGGCGCTGCCCTAGGTCTGCTGTGCAGCCGGCCCCCCGCTGCTGGGGCTCGCTGCCTGCTGCTCAGCTGTCCCGTGCAGCAGCCCCAGGGCTTGGGTTACAGGACAGTTTCTAACTTTGTGCCTGTCCCAAGGCATCAGGGCAGAGGCACATGATTTTTAATTTATGAGGACACCCATAGAGCTGTCACTTTCAAGGCAGGTGTTGAGAAATTGGCAGGGGGCCCGAGCAAAGAAAAAGACTGACCTCACCCTGAAATAATGGTGGCCAACATGGTCACAGGACAGAGAGTATTGACATAAGCGGGCTTTAAAAATAACTGGGTCATCCCGCTAGACTAGCTCCACGTCTTATACAAAGAAGCCATGAGGTACCAATTTATAGTAAAAGTAGGAGTGCAAACAGCTATTCAAGGGGTCGAACAAATGAGTACCATTTTGAGTCATTATTTTATTTAGCTGTTTTAATTCTCCTACCCAAATCGAGTGCTGAGGCACCACTAGACATAGCATCAGAATAAGGCAAGCTTTCAAGGTCCATGAGTGGTGACAGCACAGACACCGGGGCAGCTGTGGTTGTAGAGTGGTCACTGCTCTGCCTTGTGGCTGCAGCCACTTCAGATCCAAGTCAAAGCAAAAATCTGAAATGGACAGTTGGACTAGATAATCCTCATAGGACTCTTCCAGCTGAACTATTCCAGTCTAAAAATGAAGCAAAGGTCACAAACAAATAAACATTTTGTTGCAGAGGAAAGTCAGTGAATATGTGTTAATAGAACTTGGCCTTAGAAAAAAGGAGAGGAAATCCAGAGAGGAAATTACTATTTCTTTACCTAATCCAAGCTTTGGAAAAAATCTTAAAGCAGACTGTTCTCCATTCAGATTTGAGGTGGGGCTGAGTGCTTTCAGACAAATGCTGGTTTGCAAAACACACTTCACACCTCCTACGATCAGGGCATTTCGCTGCAATTCCTAAGAGGAAAGAACAAGATTTGGCTTAGACAGAAACCTCAAATAGTTCCAGTAATTATGAGAGTTACGAGGCCAATAATGACTTAGCTTTTGACATCTCCATCCACAATCGCCTATTCCTGGATTTCTGGCACCCATTTAATTCCACACACAGTTGAAGAATGCTTACTGCTGCTCCTGCCCTCTTCAGCTCTGTCTGTCACTAGAGAGAAAGTGTAATTTTCTCGTAGAAAATGTTTTACAGTAAGTCTTTCATACCACCTGAACAGTGCAGAGGGAGAAGACAAGAACAGAGACTAGATACTTCCTACTGCAGCTCTGTGAGAATACAGTCACCACATGCTCAGGAGCACAAAAATTAAATTCATGTACTGGTTAACAATATTGCTTTTGTCAACAGTATAAGTTGACAGCAAACTCTTCTCAGTCTTTGCTTCCTAAAGGAAAACAGCTCCTCAGCAAGAGCTTACAGCACCCGTGTATTCAGCCAAACTGTTTTTCTCAGCCAGGAGAAGAGAAACAAATAATTACAACATGGAAAATGCTTGCTTTTGCTTTGACCAAGCATGCCTTTGAGTCAGCTGTTAAAGGTTTGTCACATGGTGACCATTCCTCATCTGGGTAACTAGCTAACTACCATAAAAAGTCCAGTATCGTCGGCATTAAGTTGTTTGTCCAGCTTGTAAGGCAGTTTTCTAAATCAAGACATCGTGTTACCAGAGGTCAATAGATTGCTATTTCATGCTTGATTATTTACATGCTCCTTCTAAAAAGCAACTTGTTAATTTTCAGTTTTGCAACTAAGGCTTAAAAATATCAAAAATATCTTTTTTTCAGTAAGACACCTATTCTGCTGCTTTGCTAATTCAGCTTTAGCATTGTCAGCTCATCACAAAGGGCAGCACTGTGTCCCCTGTGCCATGTTCAATTTAAATCTAATATTTCCATTGCAACTTGCACGACGAGCATAACTCCTATCTTTTCAGTTGTGGAAGACTTCTGTAGCTGAGCCCTGAAAGCATTGAAGTGAATAGCAAAAAATATTTAAAATTAATCTGGGGAATAACAACCAGTATGTATTTTAACTATTTTTTTTTTTTAATCTTCTCTGGCCCCCATTTTATAAGGCAGACTGAAAACAGGCCCTAAGGAGTTTGCAGCATTTCATGACAAATTGTAATTGACAGGCCAAATTAAGAAGAAATACCCTCAACAAAGCAGATTCTGTGAGCCCAAACATCTTATTAAAGTGACAGGCCACCTAATTAGCTTCAAATGGAATTAGGAGCTTGTTCCATGTTTCTTTTCCAGTAATGTGGCCCTCCCAATTATCCATGTCCTGTTTCATTCATTTTGACTGTAAACACCTTTCCAATATAACAGATCCTTTCTTTATCAGTGTACTGTGGATGAGATTTGACGAAGCCATGGTGCTGTTGTTCTAAGTTGGGGCAAACCTCTTTGGTGTTTTCCCTGCTGCAGCACAGCTGAGAATTATGCTGACTAGCCAAGTGATTGTAATTTCTGGACAAGTAATTGGGGAAAAAAATGACCCTATATAAATGGCATTCCTAGGCATGTCAGAGAGCTGTTGTAGACTGCCACAGAGTAACAGTAGAGTCTACAAGGTGGAGGCAATGTAAACTCGGAGATAGCTGTGATTTGCCAGTTTAGCCATATCAGTAGATACTTCTCATAGTATCTGTCTCAGAAAGATATATTTTTCAAATGATCTTTTAGTTGCTTGGCTTGCATATGTTACATTCAGAGAAATAAAATTAAACTGGGCTTTGATAGCTCAGCTGAAATAACCCCGGTAAGTGTTTTTGACCCTGCAGCAAGAAGCAATTAAACAAGACATACATAGTGCATTAAAGTCTTGACTCTTCAAGTTACTGACACATTTGGTGGTGATGACAGTCTAGGAACAGGAAGATCAAATCTTGTACTTAATAACCATTAGTCCAAGGCTTCATGAGAGTAAATAAATTACTTCTCTAGATAATATCCATCTGACATGCCACTTGGTTTGGTATTAGCTTTCCAAATATTGGATAAAAACCAGTATCAATGTGTTTTTTTAAATTCCAATCTTTGGCTTATATTTGGCTGTGTAGTTTTCCCATGTATGTGCACCTAACAGGTTCTATATTCTTAGTGAAAGTAGAATAACAAGTATCCCTGAACCTCTCTAGACTTGTGCTTCTAAATTGCTTAGCAAAAGGTGAAATTAACTATTTAGAATTTTGGGAGTAGGGAAATGTTTTCAAAATCATTTTATTAAAAATGCACAAAGGAGGGGTCAGTTAAGTAGTTCTCACAATACTGATCCATAGCCAGGAAAGCAACCCTAGGAGAGTAGGGACACAGAGTCTCTCCAGGCACAACTCCACTATTTACCTAAGTTCTTAAGTAGAGAAGGACTGAATTCAGTGTTTCCAGTACTCAGTGAGCCCTTCTTTATCTCATGTCCAGGGAAAAGGATGGCAGGGTTGTGAAATTTGCTTTGGACTGCTTTCTTAAATGTCCAGAAATTATTTCTGGGCAAATTCACTGAAGAAGCATACAAATAATAGCTGATTTTTGCTAAACTTGATCACAGCTGTGAGTCAACAGTAAACCATCCAGGCAGGTGGAAGCATTGCATGTTGGAGATTTGTACCAGACTACCTAAACATAAATAATCTCCAAACAATAGCCAGAGTTGCTGGGTAGCCACTTGATGCTTCATAGTTATTCTCATTATGTTACAGGTTAAGTAGGTTACATGTTCAAAGGCAACCTACCAGCAGACATCTTGATTAGCTATTTCCAGGCTGAAATCACCCACACAGCTCACTTCTTGATAGTTAATTCTATGCAGCACATGTATTGTGGCAGTCACAGAAAAGCTGTTGCCATGATCCTGACACACTTGTTAAAATTATACCAAAATTTACATGAAAGGAAGGAATCCATCTCTTTCTATTTTTATCGATAATATACATTCGCTACTCAAAGAGCATGAGATTTCATTTTGGAAGGGCATGGTATTCCAAAGCAAAGATGATCATAGAAGTAAGATGCTGTTTGGTGGAAACACTTCCAAGCTGTGTCAGGCAGAAGAGCATCCAAATTATTTTACACATCTTCCATTTTCTAACTGTATGCTGACATAATGTTTATATGCTGTGGGTATGTTGATTAAAACCTGCTGTACAAAAGTGAAAACTTACAGTAGTCCATGCTTATTTTTCCCTTCCATGTCTCATTGACTGGCAACATCAGTGGACAGATGAGAACAGTGCTACTGATTTAAAGGAAATTTCCCAACTTGTTCTTAAACATCTTTCCTTGCTATGAATTCAGCCAATGAAACAGTAATATTGGGTTTGAACCCAGTACAGGCTGAAAGTGTTCTGCTTGGAACCACAACTCCAGGTTCCCTAGAAATGCTCCCAGTTTGCATTTAAGTCTTCCCATTCTGGTTCCCTGGTTGCTCCTGTAGTCACTGAAGCAACCTAGTCACTAAGGAAGAATTTTATGGAAGTGCTTTTCATAGTGAAAATTCCTTTGCTGGCCTATCATATTTTTTTCCATTCTCTTTCCTTTTTTTCCCCTTACCATTGCAATCAGGGATATTTTCAGCTCAGATTATTATGAGGAGAAGGATACAACATAAATATCAAAGGTGCTGTTTACCATACCAGGTCCAGAAGATTTCTCAATACCATGACAGACATCTTCCAGCCAGCTAGGTGGCCAAGAAAATAATAAATCTATCCATGCAAAGCAGATGGCCTGGAATGCCTCATTACTCACAAGTGAGTGTGGGATTCACAAAATCCTCATGACATCCCAGGAAACTGCTTTTCTCCATAGTTTTCACTCATAAATGTTTGCAGTTTTTCGTGGCTGCATCAATGGACTATCTTTTTATTTTTCCTACTCTTCCCTTTTTCTCCAGCACTCTGAAGTAAAATTATTTTCTTTTTGCCAGCCCAGGGAATTTCTTTGTCCTGTCTGCTTTCTGAAGCTACTTTTTCCCTTTCAGTAGATTCAGGGTTCTCTGTGACTGGAGCTGCAGAGTGCTCAGTAACCTGAATTAGGCTGGCAGTGTTGCAGTGGGTGATCATAATAAGCTTGACAAAAAATTACACTGTACTAACAAAGTAAAAAATCTTATTTTCAATTGTTAGAGGTGGCTGATTACACCAATCTCAAAATTTGAATTTTGACCAGGAAGAACATACGGAAGTGTTTCTACCTGATATCCCCAATATATAAAGTTCAGATGTTCAAAGTGGTACCACAAATATGGTACAGGGTTCAGTGTCCAATACAGAATTAGTTCAGATGGTCAGAACTAGAAACTTGCAGTACATGCTCATCTGCAGATATTTTCTTCATTAAAATATCCTCTCCTTCATTAACTACAGTAATCCACACTGTTCTTTTACAGAAAGCTTTGTCAGGGGTGCTGTTACTCTTGAACACTTACTTCCTATATTCGTAAGGATTATGTAAACTATTACCAATTCTAATGCAACAAACTTCTATTGTTAAAATTCTTTTCATTGAGGAAACATAAGCAAAAGTTGTTTTGTTTTCTGTGGGAATCAAATCAAGGTTAGAGATCCATTCACTGCATTGGGTAGCAAAAAGAAAACATGTTTCCTCAGAAAGTTAGCAGCCTAAAATGCTGTCAGAAACTCTACTTGGAAAGATATCTGGGATTTCAAGAAATACCTTTAAAAAGAAATCACTGTGGTACTGCTTCTTCTCATAAACATGTGAATTAATTGGAAAAAGAAAAAAAATAAGCATACATCTCTGGGAAGTAAGGCTTGGGAGGATGGAGTGGATACCCCTCAGTGGACATCTTGTAGGCTCATATTTCACAGCCCTGTCCGCATTAGTTCCAGTTGCTAGATTAGTTCCTATCAAGAGTTACATTTAACTCCCTATAACTGTTCCATTTAACTCCCTCCCTTGTACCTTTTATGTCACATTACTCCTCAGAGGACAACTTGATCTGAAACAAATATGACTTGCATACAAGACTGTGTTTTGACATGGCCACATAAAACGATGTTTGCATGTTTCAATGAGAAGACCAGTGGTGAAGGTCTCACAAATGAGTACCATCCATAAGGTAAACACAAAAAATGTTAATAAAACTTCATTTGGGGAATTAATATGACAGCTTTTTGGAAATAGGGACAGCTATAGATGTGAAATAACATATATGGAAGCAATTATTTTTTAAATAAAAGTGTAAGTGGCTTTTTTATTTGGTGAAATATATTTTAAACATTTAAAATGTTTTGCACCATTTAAATAAAGGCACAAGGTTGCACATTCCCTGGCTCTGTGCACTACAATCTTCACTACCAGAAGCATTTAATTGTTTAGGTCCGTACCTATTCAAGAGCCCTTCCTTAAATGCACTTGAATATAGTGACAAATAAGCATATGGTTAGGTCCTTTTCCAAACTGCCATTCAGCTTTTTAAATTTAAAATACATGCTCATTTTGTGCAGAAGTAGGAAAACACATAGGCCAGTGCAGGATCCCACTCTCCTCTAAACAGGAGGGAGAGGAGTAAAGGGAAAAGTTTCTGTAGCAAGTCATATAAATGAGTTAGCAGGATAGGAATCAGTGACAGTGTCCAGTCTGTATTTTTTAGATACATAATGCCCAAAGAAAATGTGAGACACTTCTCTAGACAAAGTTAAATTTTGTACAAGGGCAGAAACAGAACACAGCACACTACATGGGCACTCTGGAAATATTAAGCATTCTCTAACTAATTCTGAGGTAAAGTTGCAAGAAGAAAAAAAATGGTCCTGTGTTCCTGTGGGACAGATGGGGAGCTAGTGACTTAATACCTTGTCCCTAAAGAAACTTCATCACAAATTAAAGCAAAAGTTCAAGACTGCTAACTTGCATCCCCACTGAAGTCTTGTCACCAAATGCACAAGTACTGCAAAAGATAACTCACAGTCAATTTTTCTTTAATTCACCAGATAACAAAGATATAGAAAGAAGAAGCAGCAGAAAATTTCCTTTCCCCACCACTCCACTTCTCCTTTCCTCACCCAGGGAGAAGGGAAACTGGTTTCTTTTATGAGAAAGAAACAAAATAGTTATGGCTGATTATGCAGGGATAGTCAAAAAAGTTAAACCACCAGCTATTGGATAACCCTCCAGCTCCTCTCCTCTGGCTGAAGCACGTATTCCCACATCATCTCATGCACATTCTCTGCCACCAATAACTAACTACTTTCAGACCTGCCTCCTTTCCCTAAAAATGACAGATGACGGTGGTCTAGCACAGGTCTGCCCAGATCCATCCCTCTGCTGTCCCAGCCTCCGCCTGGCTGCCCCTGCAGGAGGCTGGCCAGCATGGTGAGTTAAGCCTAAGATTCTCAGGATTCCCCACAACATAACAGCAATGCTTCAGAGAGTTTCTGCAGCTTGTTATGGGGGATGCCGTGCATGGTTACGAGAGGGTATCTTTTCATTTAGTCTGAATGCTTGGCACCCTCGGACCGTAAACAGAAGCCTAGGTAGAAATAGATGGAATTATTTACTTACACTTCCAGTGAGGAAAATGATTAGTCAATTAACTTTGCTAATAAATGGTATCTTGTGAGAAGATAAGATGTCAACAGGCAAAACTAGCCTCCAGGTTGTGTCAAAAAGAACAAGCCCTCTGGCATTTACACTGATTTATGGTGAACTATGACAAGTATGTAAATGATGAGAGTTCCCTTTTATGTTTACATTTGTGCATTTTTCTTTGGCTATTTCTGATGATAAACATATTAGTGCAGCTACTTATAATTTGATATCATTGACAGGGAAGCATTCAGGCTGGAGAGATATCCTGCAGTGCCAACTTCCTGTACTACAAGAGGCTGAGAGCACTGTGTTGGTAAATATCTTCAAGGAGAAAATGGCAGCTAAAATTGGCCACAATGATATTACAGGGATGTAATAGAAAAAAAAAATCCAGATGAAAAAAGTTTATAACACAAGATAGGGTCAATTAGTTATTCAGCTCATTTAAGCAGTCCAGCTGAACAATTATAGACAGCTACCAATTCCATTACATAGCCATGAAGCAATGTGTTCATGAGCTTCTATTTGTGATGCCACTGTATCCACCTGGGATATCTAAATCTCCTTTCAGTTCACTTGTACGTGAGAGTTACCGGGCTATGATCCTGCATGTGTTAAACCCACCACACAACACAATTTCTGGGTGTCTCAAACCATGCAGGTGCTTCAAGCTGCCTCTGACTGAATGGCCAGCTCAGGAAGTGAACATGGCATGAGCATGGATAGCCTTGACCAGAAGTTTGCTTTCATTTTATGCAAATACAGCTTCACCCTCTCACCGTGCACTTCCACCATCCTTAGGCTAAACTGCTGCTCTAATTCTGCCAAAAGAAATAGAGCCCTAGAGATTACAATCAAGAACAAGGGTTTCCTTACACATATCTATCCGAGTCAAAATATTTAAGAAATTAATTTTTTAAATGCTCTTTGGATCAAAACAGTCCAAAATTCTCAGTTTGGCACAAGTCATGTGAGGAGTTCTGCAGCAGGAACTCTGTGAACTCTCCATGTCTTTGATTTCAGTGAGCTGTTTTGGTGAAGAGTAAATCCAAGTACTATGCTCTCCAGAGATCATCCTTACATTACTTGTATCTGATTCTACCCTGAACTTCTCTCACATGTCTGTAAAAAAGTTAGAAGGTTCAAAGCACAGTCTACCTTAGCACAGGCAGAGCAGTCATCTGCAATTTAATTATTTCCATTGGAGGCTACTTACAAAGGTGTCCAGTCCCTGGCATCCCCAGACATCAGCTGTAAAGAAAATGGCACATCTCAACATTCCCAAAGCTTGATTTCAGATCTAAACTTTGAGCAGGTCCACAAGCATAAAGATCATGCAAAAAAACTCTCACCTGAGTGAATCCTGAACATTAGAGAAGCACAGTCACAATTTCTTCAGGGTGCAGGAGTATTCCACAGCAGCTTTCCCATGAGTGAATGAGAAGAGGCAAGGCCACACCATTGTTTTTTTCCTTCTCTTACAGCTGCCACATGTTCCATCCAGTGACATCCTCTCTGCCAATAACTTCACAGATGTATGGCACAACTGCTGGGCCCCTGTAGGCTGCTTATAGGTTAGAAGGTCTGTGAGAAAACCTGAAAACTACAGGGCAAAAAAATTATTTTGTTTACCTTTTTTTTTTTTCTGTGTCTGTGAAAAGATAATGGAAAGCTTTGAAAAAATTCAAAGGAAACATTTTCCACATAGGAAAGGTAATTTCTCTTGGAAGAAACAGTAAAAGAACCTCTAGTGCCTTTTTCTTAAAGGATGTAGCTGCTGAACATCAAACAATCAATAATCTGTCTAAAAAATTAAGCCTTCCATGTGACATTACTCCTCTGAAAATCTTGCAGCTTTGAGTTATTAAAATTCCTCTATTCCATGGGTCAAATGGCTATTATTGTATAGTGTTAGCAATACAAAAACATTTCCACATATATGTTCATGGAGTAAAGCTGAGTATTGGGTATTAGGTCGATTTTCATTATTTAAACCCAAAGAACACATACACAAACACAAAGTTCTTAGGAAGGGGTGATGTAGTTAGACAAGCACATAAAAGAGATTACTATTCTTGCAAAACTTTAATCTCTTGTATTCTTAAACCAGCCAGAATTAAGCACTTGTATTTCCACTACTTCCCATAGAAACATAGACTTTTTCTTCTGTCTAAACAGTATAATTCACACTCTCAAAGTTAAGGAAAATTTATTTTGGTAACTAGTAAGTAGCCCATATTGATATTTCAGCCTTCAGTTATTAGAAAATAAGTAGCTGCAAGAAAACCTGAAAAACTTCGTGGAGGCATGCTACTTCCTGGAGCTTCAAAACTTACAGAAACTTTGTGCCTCCAGCTCTAACTAGAAGCCAGTAGAAGTTACCCAGGACATCAAAAAATACATTTAATAAGCTGATGAACAAATAAGCTGATTTGACCTCTTGGTTTAACCATGTATATAAGAGGGAGATAATGTCCTATTTTATTAAGTAGGAGCTATCTGAGAAGTTGAAATGAAAGAGGAATCAAAGATTCCTGTTCTGTAAGAAAAACAGCCATTGCCAGGATAATAGAACTTAGAAATCTCCCTCCATTTCTTGATAGAAAGGAAGAAAACAAGACTTAAGTCACTGATTCCAAGAAACACTAGGGCTTATCTGTTCTCAGGAATATCTACACAAATCACTTGGAGGCAGGTCACTGTGTTCTGCCAAATTGCATGTAACAGAAATAATGTAAAATAAAAAAGTGAGCTCATCACGTGAGCTCAGTTATCCTACTGGGTCCTGAGAACAGTACCTTGGAAAAGGAGTAAGGGCTGGGGAAGAACCCATTATTTGGTACAGTCACAGTCTTATTAAACCCTCAGTTCTCACCCCCTCCGTGGATAAGTCACACACAATAAGTCATGGGGTTAAAATCTTCAAGAGTCAGTAAGGTATGTCTGTCTTAAAACCAGTTTGGAGAAAGCCTAATGGCAGAAACTGCAGGAGTCAGTCTTTGGATATGGGAAGAGCCTAAGCAATAGCAGGAGTGAGATCTTCCACAGAAGGCAGAGTGCACAACCTCCCTCAGTAGCTGCCCACCAACACTAAATGGAATAGTCTCTGCTCTGAGTACGCAGCTCACTTCATACACACTCAGTTATGTGCAGTGTGTACATGCACGTGTGCACGCATATTGTTTCTAAGATATCAAAACAAAACCCTTCAAATGCACATATCCTTCTGGAGAAAAAGATGAGAGAGTGGATGTGGGCTGTGTTGACTGCATTGCATGTAGCAATACTGTAAGAGTCTAATGATGAACAGATTATCTGAATATATTTGGAGTAGGAATGATTTTTAGCATAAAACCTCTAAACTGGACTTTGTGTAATTAAACTCTGTAAAACATGTCTAGACTTGCCTGCTGCTAAAACCAGCACCAATATGAACATAAAGCAAGCAATATTAATTTCTTCACATATTGTGGTAGAGACCAGATTGATAGTTATTCATTTTAAAAGCCAAAGCGTGGCACGTAATCTCATGTTTTACAGATCCATCTCAGCAAAATGTCTTATCTTTAAGCATGGGCTTCAACCCCAAGAAACAGTTTGCTGATTGAAAGCCTGGCATGATTAGTGCCAGAAATGAGAGAGTTTCAGGAGCGTGAGATACATACTACTATAAAAGTGTTACTTTGCAGGACAGCAACAGGCACATCTCCTCTTACACAGGCAGCTGCTCCAGAAATACTCCCTTGTTTACTGCCGGCAGTGCGCGCACAAAGAGCGCACGCCTCCGCTCCTGCGCCGCGTGTAACGAGGGGGTGCGTGCCTGCCCAATCCTCCTGTCAGCAGATCTTCTCGGTTTTCACTTCTTCTTTGCTACTTTGCAAACTCTCAGCTATTTTTTCCCAAGCCGTAACACGGGGGCTCTTGGAGATTATTGCCATTCTCCCCCTGCCTGTCATACACCTTGTTTCCAAGTATGGTCACTATGAGGGGACTGTCGCTTGGAGCCTTTGTGGAAAATTAATGGCAGACAGGAAAGGGCAAAAAAGACAGGACAGATGGCTCTGTCACCACCACCAGCCTGATGCCATGAGAGCTCTTCAGTGCCTCTGCAAATGCCACTCTGTTCTACAGACTTACTCTGAAGTTGATCCAATTGCACCCTTGGCAGCTGTCTTTCTTCTTTTTTATAAGATTTTTCCTTGTCCTTTGACTTCCCAGGCTCATCCACGTGGTGAATTCAAAAGGTCAGTTTTTAAATTAGTGACCGGGTGCTGATGGTCTGAAATACTGTTTAACTATAAACCTATTGGCATCTTGCTAGAAGTAGTGTTGAATAGTGTTGTTAATAGGGCTTGTTTACTTGTTGGTTAAAATCCAAATCGAGTCAGCTGAGATTTGAAGATGCAGTGAGTAATCTTCTAATTCAAGTAAGCAAATGGAGTGATGTCACCTCACTTTATTCTTTAAATGGCATTCTGTCTAGTTTCACTTTCACAGTGAAACATACACCCATAGTATATTGAGTGCACACTGGAAGCACAAAGAGATGCCTCTTCTTGTGTGAGCGGTGCCAGACGAATCGTGGTTTGGTTTATGCACATACTTGAGGAAAGATATGCTTAGGATTTTATGCATTTTAAACACGATGAACAGGGTGAATAAATTGTGATGCGACGCCAGGACATACAGTCAGAGTCTGCAGAGAGAAAGCCAATCCCTCTGAAGAACTGGGGTTATAATCTCTAGTTATGTAGTTTCAACCTATACGATTGTATTTATAGGAGAAGTTCTATGCTGGATACACCCCAATGCTGTTTGCTGTTAGACAAGAACAATTCATGTGTTTGCAAAGCCTGGGATGTTTGTACAATTTTTTTTTAATTTGGGGAAAACATTTACAGGTTTGGTCAAAATTTTAAAAAAGGGAGAATTAGCCTGATGACCAGAAGAGCAAATGCTATGGTGTGATTCAGGGTGGAACCACCTGTCTAAATGTGAAACCGTGCAACAGTCCCAAATTTACAGACAGAATTGAACAGTGGCCACTTGATGTGGGGGAATACCTGAGATCTTGAATACTGTGGGAACATTAATGGGAATCCTGAGGCAGAAGCAAACCAAACCATCTCTCACAAGGGATTCTTGCCTTTCCTGTATTTTTGAAGGTACAGGCAGTTTCCCTAATACCAGGTATAGCCCCTGCTTGATGCCAGCTTTTCCCAGGGTGGTTTTGTGTTGCACATCAACGTTACTGAGTACTGGAAAGTTCTTTGCTGGAAACCAAGTGACAGATTGCTTTCAGGAAGTCAGCTGACACCCACCTACTGCAGTGGAAAGAGCTTTCCTCTATTACTGTGAGTCTGGAGGGTGGGGGATTGCCATCATACCGCTATATCATGCATAGTCAGTGATGTCATTCCTTGTGGAGAAGCCTGCTATTTCACATGCTCAAATTCTTTTTGCCTAATCAAATTCATCTTCAAGACTGATTCAATAAAAAGTTATAATGTTGAAGTTTTAATGTGAAATAAAGCTCAAATCTGGGCAAAAAATTACTCATTCTGTAGCGACAGGTTACAATTATGCCTGAACATGAAGTATTAGAAGAACCTACATGATCTTCTTTGAAAATGGTCCTGAAATAACTGAGCTTGTTATGTTGTAGTACAGAAGCTGCCAGCACCAACCTTTATGACTTTAATGCACATATCAAAGACCACTTTGTCATAGTCTTCAGCACGGGTAAGCCCCGTTTTTATGAAAATGGAAGCTGAGCAAGGTATGTAACAGCAGGATTTCAGGACTGTTAAAGATGAAGCACTCCTCCTATAATAAAGATGTCATTGATTACTTTTCTAGATTCACCTGAATCATCCAGTATTCCTCCTGGATTTTGAGCAAGAAGAAGATGTAGCTGAGTTACGTAGATTTCAGCAGACCTCACATGTCCCTTGTGTTCAGACAGGTTTAGAATGAAAACAAATTTTGCCATTTGCATTTTACAAGGCAAGACAATGTACAGTGACAATGCCACTTATGAGGTTAAACAGGGAAAGATGCAAGTCATTATGTGCCAACATGTCTAACAAAAGGTGGTCCTATCTCATCTGGGCTTCACTGATATGTCAGTGCTCGATGCTGTGAGCAATAAACACGCTGCTCAGATGCAAAGTGTGCTGTAGATGTCACCATTGATTCTGTTGTAACCAAAAACAAGGTCCCATAGTCATCTGCTTCCAGACCTGGAAACACCTGTTCGCGTGTTCTATGTCCTGTCCTAACTTTAGTCAGAATCTGAAAGCAAAAAAAAGAATGCTGAGAAGGGCATTAGAACCTAACTGCTGTCTATTGCGTCTTGGTAGTGGACGTGCTAAGTATGAGAGGTGCTGTGCCACAGTCCTTCATGAAAGACCTTTGAACTGTGAATGTAGGTGTAATTTCACTTTGATGAAGCAGGCAGCTTACACGCTCCCTAAATTCACTGAGGGTCATCATCTTTGTCTTTTCCAGGACAGAACAGTATATTTACCTTCCTTTCCTGATATATCTCATGATCTGTTT